ATATTTATCAATTTTTCCTTCATGGTTTGTTCACCCATTTTACAGATGTAGAAACTGAGACCCAGATAGGGGAAATGACTTCCTAACTTGCCACCAGTTAGAGACACAGCTAAGACTCCTCTTTCTCACTAGCCCCTATTTCCTCAACTCACTCAACCATCTCTCCCCGTTGCCAAATCCTCCTCTGGGCCTGATGCACCATCTCCCTCCCCCCTCCCCCTCGATGCCCAATCCACCCCCAGCCAACGCAGGCTTCAGCGAGGCTTGCATGTGCACGTTCAAACTTAGTCTTGCTTTAAAAAAAACTTTAAAATCTAACATACATAGAAAAGGTGTACACATCCCAAATATCCAGCTCAGTGAATATTCACAGTGAACACACCCATGTGATCCGAACCCAGATAAAAAGACAAAATGCTAGCAGCTCCTTCTTGATCCCTTCTAGTCACCCCCAGGCTAAACACAGCCCTGACTCCTAACACCAGATATTAGCCATTTTGGAACTTCATATAAATGAAACCTTACAGCATACACACTTCTGTGTCAAGATACTTTTGCTGAACATATTGTCAGTGAGTGTCGTCCATATGGTTGCCTTGGTTGTAGGGTGTTTGTCTTATCGCTGTGTTAATATTCCGTAGTGTTTCTGTGCTGTGATGTATTAATCTGTTTGCCTGTCGATAAACATTTGAGTGGTTTCCAATATTGAACTAATAAGAATAATGCTGCCCTCAATCCATGTACATGTACATGTCTTTCAGCACACAGAGGCACATGTTTCTGTGGAACTGCTGGGTCATAAGGTACGTGGATGTTCAGCTCTGGAAGATACTGACAAATTGTTTTCCCAAATGATTGTGCCAAGTCACACAGCACTGGTGGCAGTAGGTGAAGTTCTGTTCACGCCACATCCTCACAAACACTTGCTAGTCCTTTTGGTTTGAGAAGGTAGGTACTTGTGGGGCAGGCTTGCATCAGATTGCCTGGGTTTGAATTTCATTCTCTTTTTACCTTGTGACCATCAGCAAAGCCTGTTTCCTTGTCTACAAAATGGATTGAAAGTCATAGGGCTGTTAGGAAGATTCCATAGACCGAGTAGGTTAGGCTCCATAAACATTAGCTATTTATAGTTAATTCTCACAACAACCCTCTGAATTACTTCCCCTCCCAGAGCCTCAGTTTCCCCTTCTGTAAAATGGCAATAAAAATATGAACACACCCACAAACACACACAGTGGAGAGGATTACCAGTTAGTGAAATAATATATAAAAGTGCCTACTTTTTTTTTTACTGAGATATAACATATTTATTATCAGATTTACCCTTTTTCAGTGGCTTTTAGTACATTCACAAAGTTGTACATCACCACTAATTCTAGAACATTCTCATCTCTGCAAAAAGAAACCTTGTACCCTCTGTAGTCTTTCTCCATTCCCACACACCCAGCTGTTTCCAGCCCCTGGCATCTGCTAATCTACTTTCCATCTCTATGGATATTAAAAGTGTCAAATCTTTGCTTTTCTTTATTTTTTAGCTTTTGCAAAAGTGAAATACCTAGCACTGGGACAGACTCATAAAACGCACTTAGTAAATGTTATCTATGTGTGTGATGTGGATGGAAGGGTAGATAGGCTGATAGATGGATTGTTAGAGCACACTTAGTAGACAAATACAATGTTAACTCGTTCATACAACAAATACTCAACTGCACATTTGCACTTGAGAGGAAAATGGTGTAAGGAGAGAAGATGTGATTCTTAATTTTGGGGAATTTGCCATCTAGTGGAAAAGAGAGGCTTGTGCATGGGAACGCAGTGCCAAATGAAATTATAGAGTTGTCTCTGAACAAGGGTTGTGGGAACTCGGGGAAGATGTTGGAGGTGGAGGTGGCACTTCTCGGATGGGTGAGCTTTCCTGACGTTGAAAGGCAGCCTGGGGGAGGAATCCTGAGAATGAAGGCTGGGAGACAGAGAGGGTTTGGTGTCAGGCAGGACCCCTAGGACAGCCACGTCGTCACACCCATTAGGACCTCATCTAGCACCTCACAGCCATGAACAAGACCTGTCTCTAGCAAAAGGTTATAAACACCAGGTGATAGAGGCTGAATGGGAAAGGAGCAAAGGGGTGAGCTGGGCTAGCTTACACAGTCGGCAATGTTATCTAAGCAAGGGCACCCTGAGCTGGCTATGCCCTCGGTCTCTAAGGGCGGCAGCCTCATGGAGGAAGGAGCCTGTACTTCTGAGTCAGACCTGGTGCTGCCTTTTCTTAGCTCAGGACCTTGAGCAATACTTCCTTCTCTGAGCTGGATTCTTCAACCATAAAATGGAAGTAATACCACTTACTTCAGTAGGGTTAGAGATGATGGTTCAAAAGTGTTGGACACAGTATGTGGCATGAGGAATGCCCGGTCCCTTAAATGGCCTCACAGATAGGTTGAGGGAAGACGGACAGGCAGATGAAGCATGCATTCAAGGCCTCAACAAGGTGGGGCATTAAAACATTTTAAATTTACTAATTGATATACATATTTTTTAAATTGAAGGTGTCATCGTGAAAGAAATCAGAATTTGTGGACTTCCTTTTATTTATTGTACAATGTTGTGCTGTTTTGTTTTGAATTGCATGTGGAGGAGTTATCTTTTGAGTGCTCAGGCCTCCAAAGGTATTATTAGGCCCCGAGGAGGGCAGAACTGGGATGCAGCTGCTTGTGGAGGGCCACTGATGGCTGGGGAAAGCTAGGGGCACAGAGTGAGGGAGAGAACAGCCCTCAAGGAGTAGCCTCTTGAATCACAGAAGAAAACTCTCAGGTTTTCTCCTAGGGAAAGGAGGCCAGAGGAGCATGGAAGGGTGAGCTGGAGTGCTCATGGCAGGGACTTGGAATCAAGGGTGGTTAAAGTTCCAGGATGCTGAGAAATCACTGAATTCAACTTCTCCATTTTATAGGTAGAGAGACAGATCCCCAGTAAGACAGAGATTTGCCCAGGGTCATCCACTGAATTGGTGGCAGAGCAAGGATCAATTCAGGTGTCTACTTAAGCCAGGGCCCCTGAAGCTAGGAGGCCCCAAGGGAGAGGATGCTCTGCTTCCCATCCCTGCCCCCCACAGTGCATTCCCCAAGTCCCTGGGTGCCCAGTGTGGGGGTTCAGAGACTAGGACACAGTGCTGCCTCAGAACCCACAGGCCAGGGGAGAAGTCAGACAAGCACATAAGGGACAATTCACTGTGCCAAAATTACCAGAAGGGCCACTTAGGGATGGCTCTCTCTCCAGAAGGGGCAGGCTGAGGTGGGACCTCCAGAATTTGGTAGAGATGGGCAGGGAGAATGTACCCCCTGCAGAGAGCAGCAGGGAGTAAGTGGAGGAGGGCAGCTGGGGCTCCTGGGAACGTGAGGTGACTCTTTGGCAGGGACAGAGGGAACCTGTCCAAGGGACGTGGTGGGTGGAAGGGCTGGCTTGTGACCAGCCTGGATCATCATTTCAGCACCCTCCAGGCACTGCCATTTGGTTGTGGGAGCTATGTGACCCTACCATGGGCTGAAAGAAAGTACATGTGGGGACCAATTCCAAGCTTCTAGCCCCCAGCTGACCACCTGCTCCCCTTCCTCTCCTGTGACCAAACGTAGGCCACACCCTCTGTAAAGCCAAGGGAGGTTAGCATTTGCCTCCAGCCCTCATTTGTTTGGAAGTTTGGAAGATAGCCCTGGGTGGGAAGGGATATCGCTGGGCGGGGGCTGGGGGGAGTCTGGGATTCTTCTAGACTAGGTTTTGTGGCTGTCCCTCTGTAGATATTTAGGTCTGTTTCCTCTCCTGTAGACTCTGGTGCTCCCTCTGAGGTGGAGCAAGATACCTTACGTCTGAGGATTGTTAAAGATGCCAGCAAGGTGACAGGTGTGAATGCCTCAGTCCAAACAGCCTAGTTTGTGTCCTCAGGGTGAGAAGAGAGCCTTCAAAAACAGGAACACAAACTGGACCTCAGGGTTGGTGAGACGAGGAACCCAGAGCAGATGTCCAGAGGATGTCCAGAGGAGGATGACCATCCGTCACCACTGGTGCCGACCCCCGGCGGGTGGGGCAGGATTCACTCTCGTGTACCATCCCGGGCCTCTGTGCAGGTGCAGTGATGATTATAATGGTAACTGGGGGTATTGAGACCTTCCTGTGGATCACGCCACGTGAGATTTCTGAGAGGTTGTTTCGTCCAGCTGTGTGGAGGACTGAGAAGGAGGGAACGTGAGCCAGGATATCAGAGAAGGCAGGGGTCAGTAGCTAGGTGAGGGGTTTCACAGGAGGGTGCCCTGGGAACAGGAATGCCCGGCATTCAGGCGCTTTCTGGGCTTTCTGGCTCAGGAGTGACTTCTTGAGACCCCTTTTGGGTGAAGTAGGGGCCGTTCCACCAAGAGTCCAAGTGGTAACAGCAGAAGGAAAGACGAGAGGGGAGACAGGGACCTCCTCCTCTTCCAAACTCCAGACCCGCGGGAGATCCGACCAGGTGCTCTCACACCTGGCGTGTTGATTATGCAGATTTAAGTACGCCCAGTCCGCGCCCGCGCCCAAGGCCCCGCCCACTCGAGTGACCTGTGGGGCGGAGCTATGCTAATGAGCCGGTCG